GAACACCGCCATCTGCAAGTTCCCTTCCAAGTCACTCACCGTCCTGACTTGGAGATAGATCACTTACCCAGTAACAGCAAAAGGACTATACGCCTTCTCTAACAGCATTGCGTTTCCCTGCACCCCAGTCATTGCAGTGTTGGGGAAACAGCTCATCTTCAACTTCAAGCAATTTAGGATGGGAAGCAAATGCTGGCCCAGCCTAAGATGCCCGCTCCTTGAAAACAAATGCGAGCCCTACAGAAGATTCTTAACTTACAATGTATCTTTCCCTTTTGTCAGTTTGTTTGCAGGTTTCTACATTAATAGTGAGTGTTGTCAATACATTATTACTTTTCTAGCAAGCTCTTGCCCATTACAACTGTGGACACAACAAATGAACAGAGTGGATTAGAATTTACAAACATACATGAAAACAAACGTGAAACAAGTAACTTTTTGATTACCAAAAAGCCAAGAAAATGCTAGCTTAAACTTTTTCCTAAAGATAGAATCCCTATAGTGTGGAAACAGGCCATTCAGCCCAATGAGTCCACACCTTTTTTTCTTTATTCGTTCATGGAATGAGGGCGTCGCTGGCTAAGGAGCCTTTATTGCACATCCTTGATTGCTCAGAGGGTGGTTAAGAGTCAACCACATTGCTGTGGGTCTGGAGTCACATGCAGGCCAGATCAGGTAAAGATGGCAGGTTCCTTCCCTAAAGGACATTAGGGAACTAGATGGGTTATTCCAACAAACAATGGATTCATGGTCATCATTTGACTCTTAATTCCAGATATTTATTGACTTCAAACTCCACCACCTGCCATGACAGGATTCAAACTCAGATCCCCAAAAAATTATCTGGGTCTCTGGGTTAACAGTTCAGCGATAATACCACTAGGCCATCACCTACCCTCCAAAGAGCTTCCCTGCATTTCCCACAGCTAATACACCTCACCTACACATCCCTTGTAATTTAGCATGGCTGGTTGACCTAACCTGCACAACTTTGGGCTGGGGGAGGAAACCGGAGCACCCGGAGGAAACCCACGCAGACACAGGGAGAATGTGCAAACTCCACACAGATAAACAGTTGCCCGAGGGTGAAATTGAACCCAGGTCCCTAGCGCTAAGAGGCAGCAGTGCTAACCACATGCTGCCCAAATACTCATGTTTAAGAAAAAAAATCATCCAACAGACAAGTTTTCCTATTTGAGCTTAAAAGTCCTTTCTCAAAAATCAAATAGGACTCAAAATGGATCAGTAAGCAAATTAAAAATGAGGTAAAGAACCTTCTACACTCAAAGGTTGTGAATCTCTGGAATTCCCTGCCCAGTGAAGTAGTCGAGGCTTCCTCATTGAATGTTTTCAAAAAGCTAAGATGGATAAGTTTTTGAACAGCAAAGGAATTAATGGTTATGGTGAGAGAGTGGGTAAGTGGAGCTGAGTCCACAAAAAGATCAGCCATGATCTTATTGAATGGCTGGGCAGGCTTAACAGGCCAGACAGCCTACTCCTGCTCCTGCTCCTGGTCCTTGTATTCTTATGTAAACCCTGCAGGGAGAAAGGAGACGTTTATCAGGATGAATACAAGGACCTGCAGAAACAAAATGTACAAAAAGGTAAAACAACAGAGGCAAAGACAGACGTGGACCAAGTCGAGCTGCTAAGATCGACAGAAGTTCTGCATCCTGTAACAAAAATGCTGGAGATTTGAAACAAAAATAAGAAAGTGCTAGAGGATCTCAGCTGGTCTGGCAGGGTCTGTGCAGAGAGAAATGATGAATGTTTTGAGTCTGAGAGATTTTTCTTCGGAACTGAAGTAACGGAAAAGTGATGGATATTGAAATGTTGTTGGTTGGGTTACAAAAAGGAACACTAGGACAATACTAAGGAGCCTAGGAAATGAGAGAGGAAAGGTGTCATGGAGCAAAAAGGTAAAGTGAATGGTCACAGATGTACAGAAGGGACAAAGTATTGGTCTGGAGACAATATCAATAGCTGAAACTCAACTGGGCTCACCATATAAACAGTGGCTACAAGATCAGGTCAGAGGCTAGGAATCCTGCAGCGAGTAACTCATCTCCTGATTCCCCAAAGGCTGTCCATCATCTACAAGGCACAAGCCAGGATTATGATGGAATACTCCCCACTAGCCTGAATGAGTGCAGCCCCAACAATATAAGAAGCTCAACATCTTCCAGGACAAAGCAACCCACTTGACTAGCATCACATCCACAAACATTCACTCCCTCCACCTTCGATACTCGAATGCAGTGTGTACCATTCTACAACATGCACTGTAGAAATTCACAAAAGATCCTCAGACAGCACCTTCCAAACCCACGCCGGCTTCCAAGTAGAAGGACCAGGGCAGCGGATACATGGAAACACCACCCCCTGCAAGTTCCCCTCCAAGCCACTAACTATCCTGAATTGGAAAAATATCGCCGTTCCTTCAGTATTGCTGGGTCGAAATCCTGGAATTCCCTCCCTAAGGGCACTGTGTCTACCTACAGCACATGGACCGCTGCAGGTCAAGAAGGCAGCTCACTACCACCTCCTGGTGGGCAAGTCCAGAACTAGGGAATGTCATTTTAAAATTATAAGTCACCCTTTTAAGACAATGAAGAGAATATTTTTTCCCTCTGGGTGACCGCGCTGTGACTGATTGGGAAAAGATGGGATCGTGGAATCTGAAACAAATAGATCAACCACAATCTTATTGAATATGGATCAGGTTTGAAGGGTCAGGATGTCTACTTTCCACTCCATTTTCGTATTTTTGTGTCAATAATTCATTAGAAAACAGTATTAGAGGGTAGATATGTCCCATACCAATGTATTGTAAACTATTTATTTACTTATCTTTTGAAAGCAGGTTATCATAAGGAATCTGGTGTGATTAGAGTGAGAGTGTTACATTTCAGTACCTACTTGGACATTGCTGAGCACCTGCTTAGCACAGATCACAAGCTATAACAACAATCAACATTTAAGATCGTTAGCTAACAACATATTAAGGAGGGATAGCAAGAATGGTCCATTGTCTCCCGAATAGTCATCTTAATTCTGGTTGGAAAATTAAAAAAAAAATCAATGGTCAATATATTTTGCAAAATGTCTTTCTTGAGTAGTCCTAGGAAGAATTGACAGAGGGAGTAGACAAGGGATGATTATTTTGATAGAATTGGAGCTCAGGGTGAAGGAGAGATTGGCTCTAGGTAATAGAATCAATGCAGGCATGATGGACTGAATGGCTTCTTCCCACACAGCAATATTTGTGATTCCAGCTAATGTATTTGATGCAGATCCCAATTTCTAAAAGGTTGTTAGTAAGATGGCACATAATGAGCTAAAGAGAAAAAGCCATGCAGAATTGGGAGCAGGTAGCAGAAAGGACAGCCTGTCTGGTTTGGAAGTCAGGAAGCAGTGAGGAGTGGCAAATGGACAGAAAGCAGCCTCTGCTGTCCCCCAACAAAATCCAACTGGCTACTCCGTTTTGCCAATGGGTAAGGATGCCGGTTCTCATGACAGCTGGGTACACAGTTAATCATGGTCTTGATGTGAAGAGATTAAGTGATCACATGAAGATTTTATTTAGCAATTGAAAGTGGAGTTTGGGCCTTCTGGCCCAGAACTGGATCCCTGTGACTGTGGGGAAAGGAGGCAGCCAACTCCCAGGTGCCAAACCAGAATTGTCCCTCCCCCCTGCCAGATCTCTGGAGGGGGAAAAGATTCCAACCTTGGGGCTGCCATCTACGCGGAAGATTGCAGTAAGTCACAAGAAAGATTTTCACAAACTGCAGAATGAATGTGCAGATGGGCACCAGACATTGCAGTTAGATGTGAAAAGGATCACAGATCATTTATAAAATCAAACATTATATGGGGGCATGGGGGAGGAGAACTGAAACAAATGGTAGGTTTATAAGCATTATACCAGAACTACAACTTGATACCTTTTATTGGGGTGGGGGGGTGTGAGTGAGGATGACCATGCTTGGGCTCCTTTCTTTGAAGGGATAGAAAGCTAGGGATGACATAATTGTTGTCTTAAAAAAGGAAAAATCTGAAAACACAGAATTATTGCAAAGCAGGAGGCCATTCAGTCCACCGTATCTGCACTGGCTCAGAGTATTCTAAAGTATCTCTCTTTTCCCCATAACCTTGCACGTTGCTTCTATTCAAGTAATCACCTTGAAACATGTCACTGAACAAAATTTACAAGTGATTCTGTTAGAACAGACATAGGAACATTTTAGGTGAAGAGAAACTAATTCAAGTGACGCCAACAATAGAAAAGGAAAGTCACAAATACATTCAATGGGGAATATCAGCTAAAACCTCTTCAACTGAGAGAGTGCCAGTGAGCAAGGAGAATGTGGTATGCAGTACCACAGCGAGTGGTCAAGGAAAATAATTCACTCATTTCAGAGGGCAGTTGGATAATTAAAACAGGGAGAACAGAACCAAGGAACATGTGAATCACATTAAAACAAATACAAAGAGCTCAAGCTGGTACAGATTGGATGGACCGAATGGCCTATTTCTGGGCTTTAACTGTTCTAATTCTATATTTGATGTACTTCTAAAGAAGGATAACGATTTTCTCCAGACTAAATATTTTTACAGTTTTATACTCTGGATAAATACAAACTTCATCCAGATTTATTTCCAACTCACTGCCCCTGTTTTACATTGTATATAATTCCTGATCCAAATATATGATCCACACCCAGTTTTTAATTCTACATAGGGTTTACCAGCAAGTTGTTTTCAGGACTGAATGACACTTCAACAACAACTAAAAAAAAAAATCCCTTAACACTTTCACACAAGCCTCCCTTTAAAAACTTGTGTTTTTCTGGCTTTCTTTTGTAATTTTTGCCTTGAATTTAACAGCTACAATGATAAACTGTGCAACTGGAGAATCTCTGATTCACTAAAAGTTATTTCCTGGTATTCCGTATTACTTTCGATTGTAAAACTGGATAAGATTAGATAAAGTTCCTTACCCCATAATGCCATGAAAATTGAATAGAAAACAGTTGCGGGATTATCAAACAGATGACTTGCTCTGGCCGTGGCACAGGTAGAGCTCAGCTTCCAGTAATTGCATGTTTTATCACACAGCGGGCACATTGTGATGTTGGCACTTTCATCACACATCTCCATGCTGCAGGAGACAGAAGGATAACACACAAGTTGAGGTTCACCAAGAAATGAAATGGACACACAATTATCATGAAACGATCCAGTGGATGTGATCTAGGTAAAGATTGCTGGATCTACTCACGGTAACAATCCAGGGGAGGTGGATTTGATAAACCAGAGCCCAACATTGGGTGATTGGCTGGTACAAGGTACCAGGGTGACCACCAACAGCTCTCAGAACTGGATTCAGTTGAAATTTCTGTCACATGAACTGCGAACTCCCCAGATGCAGCCCGTTGGTCCCGGTGGCTCTAGTATTAGTCAGGACAATAAAGGTGACAGATTGTTGCGGGTGGGGTGTGCGTGCCTGTGTATAGCAGTTACAGTCTACAGAGGAAAAGTAACTACAACAGTCCACGCTAGGTTTGTAGGGCTGGGGGAAGTACACCAACCCTGCACTGAGAGGACGCTAAGTTAAACCAAAAAAAAACACAACAGCAGTTGCTGAAGACCTGAAACAAGAACTGCTGGAGAAACTTGGCAGGTCTGGCAGCATCTGTGGAGAGAGAAACAGTTAACGTTTCAAATTTAGTGACCCTTCTACAGGGAAGAGTTCACTGTTCTTTTGTTGCTGTAGTAGAGGATCCTGCATGATGCTCACTTGAACCAATTTGGTCCCTGAATTTTTTTTATGCATTCACAGGATTAGGGCATCACTGGCCAGGCAGCATTTACTGCCCATCCCTAATTGCCCAGAGGGCAGTTAAGAGACAACCACATTGCTGTGGGTCTGGAGTCACACGTAGGCCAGACCAGGTAAGGGTGTTATCATTGACCAGAAACTCAACTGGACTCACCACATAAACAGAGGCTACAAGAGCAGGCCAGAAGCTAGGAATACCTCCTGACTCCTCAAAGCCTGTCCACCATCTACAAAGGTAGAAATCAGGAGTGTAGTGGAATACTCCCCATTTGCCTGGATGAGTGCAGTTCCAACAACACAAGCAGCTATCTGGGACAAAGCAGCCTGCTTGATTGGTACCACATCAATAAGCATCCACTCCCTCCACCACCGACGCTCAGTAGCAGCAGTGCGTAGCATCTACAAGATGCACTGCAGAAATTCACCAAAGATCCTCGGACAAGAGGATCCTCCTTCCAAACCAACAACCACTTCCATCTAGAAGGGCAAGGGCAGCAGATACATGGGAACACCACCTCCTACAAGTTCCCCTCCAAGCCACTGACCATCCTGACTTGGAAATATAATCACCGTTCCTTCACTGTTGCTGGGTCAAAATCCTGGAATTCCCTCCCCAAGGGCATTGTGGGTCCACCCACAGCAGGAGGACTGCAGTGGTTCAAGGCGGCAGCTCACCACCACCTTCTCAAGCGCAACTAGGGACGGGCAAGAAATGCTGACCCAGCCAGCGACGCCCACATCCCACAAATGAACAGGAAATAGTTTCCTTCCCTAAAAAGGGTAAGAGTGACCCAGATGGGTTTTCTGACACTTGACAATAATTCAGAGTGATAATTAGACTCTTAATTCCAGGCATTTATTGAATTCAAATTCTACCATTTGCTGTGGTGGGATTTGAACCCAGGTACCCAGAATATTATCTGGGTCTCTGGGTTAACAGTCCAGTGATAATATCACTAGGCCATCACTTCTCCTAATATCAGGGTACAATAATTGGATGCCATATCCCATTTTAAAGTGACCTGACTATGGTGACTGGCCTGGGGCTTCACTGTGGGCTGAGTTCCACTAGCTGTGCGGCTGGTATCGACGCCCACTAACTTCAAAGAACTACCATCACATTCCTGCTGGGCAGCCACTTCAGTACCAGCCTGAATTTAAAAAATTTTTTATTTTTCTGATTTATTCCTATGGACCGACAATGCTGGACTATTTATTTCTTCACTGTCCTTTTTTTTGTTTCCTAAGAAATTGATCTTAAGTATCTGCACCTAGGTATCTTTTTAACTAAGATGGTGCTGTAATGTGGCTACTGTAAACTTTTTTCACCGTACTCATTGGAGTATGTGGGACAATAAAGCTAATTCAATTCAGTTGTAACCTCATCATTAGTATTTCCAGTTAGAAGATTCCTTGTAGGGAAGAATAAAGATTTAACTAAAACGATCTAACACTGAACAACTCTATGCAATTGACTTTCTTCCCCTACATCATTAGGGATTAGTAGAATGCAGCTTAAAAGAAAATTTCAAATTATTTCAAGCGAATGAGAACCAGCTTGGGGCATTTCAATGTCAGTGGCTCTCAAATTTTTCACATTATTGATCTTTTATTGCTTGTACCCACATGGAATTAAAATGTTACACCGTCTAAAAACATCATTGCGCGAGGAGGTAATCACATCATGTGGTGTTATTGATCAAGCACTGAAGGAGAATATTGACACATGGTAACATGTTGAAACAATGAATGTACAATGGATAAAGAATCAGACAAGCAGAAATCTTAACACATCTAGAAAATGAAATTAATTAATAAACTGGACAAATATTCCCAAGTTATAGATGAAAAGCGTCTACATTCTAGATACGAAAAAACTATTCAAAATGAAACTTTAAGTCAAACATTAAATATTTTGATTTTTTTTTCAAAAATCAATTACGAAGTCTTTGGTGAATCCTTGTTCTGGGTTCATGATAACAATACCAGTGAATAAAACATTTTTTAAAAAAATGCACCTTCAAGGATCTCAGGTCAGGTACCACATTGTGGGTTTGAAGTTCCTATACTGCTTTTCAAACAGTTAATCAATCTGACTTTTAAAAGTGTTCCTGTGGTTTGTCTGAAACAACTTGGTCATTTATGGTTACTTATGCCACATAGAGGATTGTTTTCTGCTGTAGATCTGTGCTGTGTAGAAACTGGGTTAAAACACCCTCAGATTTTTGCAAACATGAAGCTGATAGTCAACAGGAAACTTCTCAATACCCAGGCCTGGCAAAGACTCAACTTGCCGTGTTAATTAACTGTCACATCTCAACTCCACAAAAGAAATTCACATTTTTAAAAGAACGCACTTAAAAGAATTTGCTTTTTAAAGCTTGTTTCAAACTTACTATGGACTTGAGAAAAACTATACCTGACTGAACTGCTTTCCAACTCCTGCTTTTTATCCCCCCAGAAATGCCCTCATTTTAAAATCTATTCCAGGATTTAAAGGTGGTATTGTATGAAATCTAAAGAAACAGGACAAAAATAGAACTACACCATTCAGCTCAGGTGGCTGGTTTGCCATGCAGTGATGCCAACAGCATGGGTTCAATTCCCTCACTGGCTTAGGTTAACATGAAGGACCGTCCTTTTCACCCTGTCCCCTCACCCGAGGCATGGTGATCCATTTGGATTAAACCACCACCAGTTGTCTTTTCCTAAAGGGAGAGCAGCCCTATGGTCATCTGGGGCCATGGTGACTTTACCTTCACAGTCACAGAGCTCAAGCTGTGTTCTGTGCAAGGACGAAGTACTGTTTCAGAGAGCCAGAAGAGAACTGGAAATGAATCTTTTACATTTATCAATTTTTATTTACAAAGTGACACATTACAAACATGCCCAAAAAGAGTCAGATCTTGAGGTTTGCTAACACATTGAATGGGCTCAGCGTGTTTGATGTCACAAGGAAGGATCAGGATATAGTTTCCTTGTTTTATTATGACAGCTCTTCAGGAAGAAGTTTAACAGGGTGCTTTCGAACAAAAATAAATTGAAGTTTGGAGTGAAGTATCCAGTTTAAAAAATAATAAACCAACAGTCATGTACAGTAACAAATAATTTGCTGTAACTTTACCTGGGAATGTTGTCATCAACAGTTGCGCAGCCGTACAGGAAGACGATGACCCCAACAGTGGATGCTGGAATCAGTAATTGTGTGTAAACTCCGAGCCAGGCAAAATAGAAGGCAATTTTCTCACCAAAGTACTTCCTGAAAAAGATCATCCGCCCATTTGAAAATCTTAGTTGTTTCCAAACGAACATCATTAATGTAAACGGAATCAAGATTCCATCCTCAAATGCAAGCTGTGTTTCTTTTTTAAAATGCCTATTGAACAACACGCTCTCTTCTCCGTTCGTTGTATTGGAATTTCCTCGCTATAGCCTTTCGAAAGCTCAGTGCGAAAAAGTTTGAGGCCCTCAACATCCGTGACTCACCAATTAGGCTTCTTCACACCATCTGACCACACACAGACTCTATCCAAGGATCTATCACTAAGAGACATCTTCTCACCGGAACCAATTGAGAAATAATGACAGCCATCCAAAGGCAAGGCAATCTGTGACTCCCAACTGGAACGATTGCCCATTCAATAGCAAAAACGAGAGAGGACTAACCAGTGTATTCTTGTAATGGAAGATAGCTATCTTCAGAATTTAGACATTTAATAGGAATATGCAGGCTAGCGAAGATGAGCTTCAAAAGTCCTTCAAAGAAAATTCACTCCAGGGGAACAAGTTTAAACTTTGGCACAATTCAGATATTGCTGATCAATCCTTTAATGGCATGAGGTTTTACAGTAAGCTCTGGGAGATCACAACTTAAACATATAGATACAGCAAGTAATTAACAAAATAAAATGCATATTAGGAAGTTACTGTAACCACGATCAGGCACCAAATCTCAGCAAGAAATCATTACCCTAGGACACGGAGGTGCAGAGCGATGCTAGGGTTAAATGACAAGGGCAGGTTGAATAAATTTGGAATGAACGTTGCGATTACAGAGAATCTAATCAAGGGCTTTGAAGATGATCAAAGGAATGGATGACGACAGAAATGTTCTCTTGTTCTGACTTCTTCCAGTGACCTCATTTAAAAGATAAAGCCAAGTTGTCTGAGGTCAGCAAGATCTTCTGACTCGAGCTGCGAGGCTAGATTAATTAATTATTGTCTGACCAAATTTAGGGTCACAGAACCAAGGTAGGCCAAGGAGATACAGATCCTCCACTATTCAAGTGAGTGGTGAAACAGGTTTGAGGGGCTGATTGGCCTCATCTTGTTCCTGTCGAGATGATTCGGATGTTGAAATTTGCACAGCTTCATCTTCAAGTAGTTGTGAAACTGGGTTATTTTGCTTTAACCATTTACATTTAAAACAGATTTTAGCTGCTGCAATAGCTTAAAAACACAAGTTTTTCTAGTGGTCCAGAAAGAATCACCCTGGTGACTTCTTGCATGTCATTTTCACTTTCCCATACTCGACATTCAAACGCTAAATCTGAACTCAACCTTCAGCATACAGGCTCATTAAATTGATTCCAGCACTCCATACAGCACTGAGGAAACCACACGGAGTGCAGTTTACTTTCACAACAGATAACAGAAGGCCAAGGGCAGAACACAGTCTCAAATTATGGAGTTCACTGCCTCTTCATAGCTCCTTGGGGTGGGAGGGAAGGGGACAATGAGAATAGGGGTGGAAGGCTAATGTAGGCATTAGTAATTTAATGGCAGCTGACAGAAACTATTTGTGGAGAAGCAGTAACAATTATGAAATAAGGAAATGGAGGCAAAAATCAGGAATGTTAGCCTATCCTACTGTCTCCTTTAACCATTAGTTTTGACTGACAGGCATGAGGGGATTGGGGGTAGCAAGGGTATGAGAGAGTCAGGATTGGGGGGTGGGTGGGGGGAGTGATGAAGGGGCAATTGTAGATTGTTTGATTAGCATTCGTACACCCGAATCCTCAGCTGAGCATTACTGCTCCTAAAGGTAATGTAGGAATGAATGAATTATAAAACTTTCTAATGACTTTTTATAAGCTCATCTCCCTACACTTGGAGTGTTCCTTTACAGGTGGCATCCTATTGAAATCGAACACTTCCAAAAAAGGCAGGAAGAGAAAAATGTATTTTCCAAAATGGATTGATCTCAAGCGTACTTTACAAAAATTTTTAAAACCAATGTACTAATTGACAATGCAATAAAACAGTCAAGTTTTACAACAAAAATCAAACTCATTTCAACTTGAATGCTTATGAAAGACAAAAATTTAGACAAATAAATCATCTTGACTGGAAAGCTCTCACTTCTGCATGGCATCATTATAAATGCATTATTTATACTCTCACATTAGGATTGTGCCAGGAGAAGGAAAAGTTTTCACAATAAAAGGAAAATCATTTTTGCAAGTTAGTCAATGAATTAACCACGTGTTCCTTACCTAATGAGATCAAGTGGCTGGAATTTGTAAAATATTCCATAACTAGCCCATTCTTTATAGAGGAGCTGAAGGAGAAGGTATAGATTTTGGTTAATTATACAACATTTCCTGAAATCTATCCGTCTACACAAAGAAGCTGACGTATATTTCTATGATTTGAATCAAACTTTAAGGGCTCACATGCAATGCGTAGTGACATTTATGGAATCACGCAGATCTACAGCATAGAACAAGTACCTAACTATTCTAGTTCCACTTTCCAGAACATGGCACAATCCACATCTGTGTGCATAGAGCAAGAATCACAACTGCAACTGCTATGACATTGCTAAGAGGTAATTTAATGCACTATCCATTAGGGCTCATGAAAACACAAGGCCCTACAACTGGAGGAAGTGAATACTTGAATATCTCTACAACAAACCCAATTATAAATACACATTAGCTCAATGATTAAAATAATTACAAAATAACATTTATCTACGCCCTTAGTATGGAGAACATCCCAAGGCACTGCACAAATAAAACAAGACACAAAGGAGTTACGAGCAACTGAAAAGCATCATTTACACCTATCACATCAAACAAAGAAAGGCAAAGGGGTTTGGACAAGAGGCTTCTAGAGAACAGGACCAAAATTGTTGGGAGAAATGCTATTGTAATTTACTGGCTGGTTTGCCATTGCCATGTGATCTGTTTCACCTGGAAGTCCAAAGGGAAGAGTGATAATAAAACATTAACCCTTGGAAATAAAAGGACTCAGATTATAGAATCCTTACAGTGTGGAAACAGACCCTTTGGCCCAACAAGTCCACACTGACCCTCAGACCCATCCCCCAATAACCCACCTAATCTACATATCCCTGGACACTACGGGCAATTTAGCACAGCCAATCCACCTAGCCTGCACATCTTTGGACCATGGGATGAAACTGGGGCACCCGGAGGAAACCCACACAGACACGGGGAGAATGTGCAAACTTCAGACAATTGCCTAAGGGTGGAATCAAACCCAGGTCCCTGGTGCTGTAAGGCAGCAGTGCTAACCACTGAGCCACCGTGTCTTCCCTAATTGTGCAGGAGCTCCATGTGGAGGTATGGAAGAGAGTCAGATCAGTATGTGCCATTTGTAAGTTTTACAGTTTTTTTCCTTTCTGGGAGGACCTGTGGGCAGACTGTGGCACATATCACTTCAAACGTGGCATCAGGGACAGTGTTCCTGCTGATTATTTTCCTTCTGTGTGGATCTCCAAGGTATGGGCACAGCAGCAACATCTAGAATCAGGCACAATGTTGCAAAGGGTAATAACACACTAATCACACAGACACTCAGCAGCTATGTGCACACAGCTTTGAGAGAACATTGCACAGCTGAAAACGTGCGCATCTTCAGCCGCAGGAGAGGCAGCTACTGAAAGAAACAGTAAGGGGATGTTTTTAAAAAGTTTACGACTTGGAATTATTGATGATGTCAAAATAATAATGCATTCTCACTCCCTGCTGATGTGAACTGGAATTGATCTCTCCTCTCACCAACTCAGTGGCAGAACGATGAAATTGCTACAGTTACATTAAAAGAGAAATTTAGAGCACTGTAGACTCAGTGATATACTACAGTAGCTGGAGAAAGTGGTACAAGCTGTAGTGTAGCCCCAACCTCACGGAGGAGCAGAAAATCCAGACTGCAGAGATTTTGAAGGCTTTGAAGAAATATTCTGAACCTTATATTGACGCTGCTCATTTGCTCAGAAGAGTTCCAGGGAAAGGGGGCCTATTATCAGTACGTGAAGCCACTGATCCATCAAGCTGAACCCAGAGAGATCGGGTAATAGAAATAAGACCTGAGAGATAGACTTAAATTTCAAGATGATTATGTTGAGAGATACTAATCAGCTGGAAGAGGAGAAAAATATTTAAGAAAGACATTAGCATCAGCGTAAGCGCCTAGACAGATACTCAGTCTGTAGCTGGAGCATTAGAACGGGAGAAATGATGAGGCTTTGCATTATGTAAGGATACATCAGTGATTTAGAATAATGTACTAGGGTGGGGAAATATTTAAGAAGAGAACAAGTTTTGCATGGCATAGTGGTAACATCATTGGGCTAGTAATGCAGAATCCAGTCAGTAATTTGGGGACATAAGATTTGAACCTACACCAGATAGTGAAATTTCACAGGGGTGGCATGGTAGATCATTGGTTAGTGCTGCTATCTCTCAGCACCAGGGACCCGGGTTTGGTTCCAGCCTCGGGTGACTGTGACAAGTTTGCACATTCTTTCCATACCATACCACACCCTCCCCTCCCCCAATGTCTGCATGGGTTTCCTTCGGGTGCTCTGGCACCATTTAACATCATCACAGCTGATCTTATCCTGGTATCACCTCCACTTCTTCCCAATAGCCATATATCCCATTTTCAGATGTGAAGTACAGATGGGTGCATGCACCCCACTGCTCCAGTAGAGTATCAACACTGGTTAGACCTCAACTAGAGAACAGTGTACAGTATGGGCAATTATAGGAAAGATGTGAACACATTGGAGAAAAGTGCAGAAACAGTTTCCAGAAATGGTTCCAGGAACAAAAAGCTTCAGTTAAGAGGTTGATTGAAGAAGTTGGGATATTCCCCTCGGGCATAAGACGGAGGAGATTGGATAGGGGTTTTCAAAGTCAAAGTCATGACTAGAGTGATAGAGTAGATAGGGACAAACTATTCCCACTCAAAAGGAATAACAAGGCGGCACAGATTTAAAGATAGTAGGAACTGCTGATGGCACAGATTTAAAGTTTTATGCAAAAGTAGCAAGCGTGAAGTGAGGGAAAGGGTTTTCCAAACTGAATATATATTGTGTGGAATGCACTGCTTGGAAAACGCAGTGGCAACAGGTTGAATGGAGGAATTTGTAAGCGCATTGAATGCTTATCTGGATGTAAATAGCATACAAGGGTATAGAGAAAACGGAATCAGCACAAGGTAGTGACACGAATTTGAAGAGCAGGTGCAGGCACAATGGGCCAAATGGTCTCTATCTGAGCTGTAACAAATCTGATAGAGAATATGGCAGTCAGCGTAAAATAATCAATGACCATTCTAAAGTGGGAGCTGTTGTGGCTGACCTATTGGTCTATGAATGTGGAGATGTACTGGATCCTGATTGCTTCCATCCTAACTGCTAGACAGCTCGTTGGATAAGCTTGAAACTGAAGAAAACAAAGCAATTGAAGATGACCAAAGTCAAGTACTGACAGTTAGAGGACTTCACTTGGTCACTGCATCCCTGTTGTGGGTCTCACCTTGTCAGGAACCAAGTCGGTACAAGATCAAGGCCTGCACATTTTTAGATTACGTAATGTATGTGCAAAGGCTGATGAAATGAAACTAGAAATAACAATGTACATTTTTACATTTAAAAAGGATGTTTCAGGAATTCAGTGGCACAGTGTGTACTGGCTGGTGACCTCTAACTCAGCAGAGAGGGACTTTGTATACAACAACTCTCTGGCAGCTATTATACACATTCCATTTAAATCCAAGATGCCTCCAGAGGTGAAGCAATGAACTGGGACTTGTTGACATGTGTTTTGAGTCTGGAGCATGGAGTTGGAGTCTTTAAATGCCAAGACAGTCTGTTCCCTCAAGGCCATTTTTCAGATCGTCACTATGGGCAAATGGATGATAAAGGTCGAGGCCACTATATAAAAATTGAGAGGGGAAGTTCCAAAGCATCAGCTAACAGTGAGCTTTCTGGGCAGGAGATCAGTCATGATCTCACTGAATGGAGCACGGTTTGAACAATCTATTCCTTTGGAATTATGGATTAAAGGAAAAAGTGCAAATATTACTCAAAAATCCTTTATGCGCTCAACTATAAAATGTAGGTAGTAATCAATTTCTCTTAATGTGCACAAATGCAGATTTAGTTCATTAAAATCCATTGTTAGGTTACCAGAGTATTAATATGCACTCATTCATCTCAGATCTGAAAACTTCACTTGCTCAGGGGCTAGTTTGTGCAAAAACAGAAATTCTGACAGATAACGTGCACAAGCAGTGACATGAGCACACCAAATTGGCAATAATGTTTGTAAACAACATTTGAAAGAAACACCATCATCTCTCCCTTCTCCCACACTTACCATGCCAAGGTGACCCTCAACACACAATCATCACAACAAATGTTTTCTGAACAGGAGTTCAGCAAAGCTTTTGAGGACGTCAACCAGTCGGGCGTCATTAGTCTCTTGCACTTGAAGATCAGAAGATTTACATGACCTTTAGCCTTCATTTATTTTGTGGGAAGATATTTTGAACTGAGAACAGGATGAACTTCTGACTGTTCTATACAAAGACTCATCTCAAAAAAAAATCATGATGAACCCTTCCCTGAGAACATTTACATATCCATGACCTTTGGAGAGTATCTGCAGTCACTACAATAAAGCTTAGGGCCATTCATGAAATAATAAAACTTCAGCTCAAGTGATTAAAACATTTTACTATGCCTTAAATAAGGGTTGCAACAAATCCCATAGGAAACTTCGCTGTAATAACCAATGAACACATTAAAAATATAATCTAAATGAGACATGCAGATTGCCACAAAAGCTTGGATCTCATTATAACGAATCATCACCAACTTCCTGCAGGCTATTTCAGTCACTTGAGAAAACCAGCTGGAGTGATGAAGAAAATGAAAAATAAACAGATTTTCTGTAGCTAACTGACCAGAAAGAATGGGAATATAGGGGCAGGGAGACAGCATGGATGAAAGGGGTGACAAAATAAAAACACAAAAAAACACTACAGACAAAGCAGTGTGCAACAATTAGAACGTTGTTAAAATAAAGTGTTGGCCTGACCAGCTCTTCGGGAAGTTATAGCTCCAAGTAACTAAATATTCCACCATATAATATTCAGACAGACTGAATTACATGAAAGAATAAAAAATGATATTTATAAATAACTGCTCAAAACTTTTATTCCTGGAAAATATCAAACTAACTGGAAGTGTTTTTATTTAAACAATAGTAAAAATACTTTATTTGAAAGTGTCCAGTTCAA